CAGCTAGCGGTGGGCACGAGAGCAGAAAACAGCTGCCACCCGGGGGCACACTGGCCCCCACCCCAGCTGGACACACAGGATGGCGCAGGGCTCCTGCTCAGGGGGACACGGCGTGGAAGGGTTTTACCCATGGGCCCAGGCGTGGGGCTGTGGAGAGAGCCACGTTCCCCCCTTTAGGGCAAGGGGAGAGAAGGGGGTGGGGTAGCTAGTGCCCAGGGAGGGCTGCGGGGTTTGTCCTGGGGAAGCTGATCCATCCCCCCACCGAGCAGCTCCCGCTCTCAGCTCCGGGGAGCAGACACAGCTCCGGGCACACGCTCGCGGTGGGGAGAGCCTGGCCACAGCTCTGCTGGAGCAAAGCGAGGAGGAACTAAAGGGAAAAAGCACTTCGCTGCTCCCCAGAGCGTGAGGCTGCTGCCCAGGAGCAGCAGGCAGCAACCGCAGGGTGCCCTGAGCCTCGCCCCCAGGCGAGGGTGGCCCCAGGACCCTTGTCCCCAAGGCAGCTTTGGGCAGGGGGGAAGCTGGTTATTGAACCCGCAGCTGAGGCTGACACTGCTCCTGGGGGGAGCGCAGCCGGCAGCGACACCCCCACCCCCCACACAGCCCAAAGACACAGCCCTGGCCCTCGGCACATTCCTCCCACCCTGCAGCGGGCACCAGGCAGGCAGCACTTGCAGCTGTGGAGGAAGAGGGAGCAAACCATCCACCAGGCAGCGTGCAGCACAGTTCCATGGAAACCTGTCCTTTCTGTCCCGGCCCAGGCTGCAGGCTCAGCCCAGCTTCCCCTGGATTCTCCAGTGCTGAAGGGAAGCCCCATCATTTCAGCCAGACTTCGGAAATACACATCTAAAAGCCGCTGCAAAGACAACACACACACTTTTTCTAGCTTACACTGGATTAATTTAAAATTAGACAGTGTTATACTTTAGTCTTTCTTCTCCCTCTGAGCCATGGAAGCAATATAGCAAGCTCTTGGCTAGTTATTTGTTTTATTACAAATAAGCATTCAATGACCAAGTCAGTTGCACAGTTCTGGCCAAAACAAAAACACCTCAGGAGAAAGAAAACAAAAGTGGTGCTACAGATAAGGAATGATCTCACGCTGCTCAAGGACCAGCCATTTCATGGCCAATGTTCGTTCAGTACAGAGAGCATTTCGACTCAGTTGATCATTTTTGCAGCCCTGTTATAACTGGCAAACAGGAAAAAATGCTCAAAGCCTTCCAGGCTAAAAGCAGCTTTACAGCGTATATTCAAAGTAAGTGAGGAATAAAGCAAGAGGGGCTGTGGAAAAGATCACTGAAGTTGAGGCAGGACAGTGTTTAAGTTTGGCATCAGACAACACAGGAGTTAGTATTCAGCCAGGCTGGAGAGGTACAGCCTTCTCCAAACTTTAATGAGCTGAAGAGTTCTGAACAAATGATGCTTCAGACAACTGAGACACTTTCTTCCCCAATTCTAAATTACCAAAAACTGCATCGCTTACACTGCAGCAAGAGGCAGGGAAAACAAAAAGCAAGTGCATTTCCCACCCTAGAACTGCAAAGCTGAGCTCACCATCGTAGGACAGCACCCTGACAAACCAACCCGAGTAACACTGCAGGCAAACTGCGAATCCCCTCCCTCAGGAAACAGCACTCTGTATTGCATCGGGTGCGGGACACGCGGCTCCGCCGTATAAAAAAAGGCAACGGAAGGCTCTGCTTCCAATCAATGAGAAAAAAAAAAAGCACCATGAACTGTTTGATCCAAGGCAAATCACAACAGGAGCTTTTAAAGGCAGCATCTGAAAGTAGTTCACTTTCTTCTCTGTACCTCCCCCTTGATGCAAGGAGGTGAAATTTCCCAGCGCAAGCAGCAGCACCAGTGGACGCTGGCAGAGACAGGGCAAAGTCAGGCCCTGCTCCAGGCAATGACGGCCTTTCCTAACAGTTTTGCTTCCCACCCCCCTCCCCAACACGATCCAAGTTAATTGCATCCCTGCAGAGTAGCAGGTCAGTCAGAGCTCATCATGTTCCAGATTAACTCTTCTATTCCAGGAAGATTTTCCTGGTTAAAAGTTCATTGGCGGCAATGAAAGCACCAAGACCACCGGTGCCAAATGTTTTTAAACGCTACTGAAAAAAAATCAAATCAGAACAAAACATCCCCGCCCAGATAGACTGCATAAAGCTGAGCAGCCCATCCTCTGCAGCACAGCACAGCTCAAGAACTGAGCGAGCCCCCAAAACCTAGTGTCATCCACGTAATTTCACCAGTAAGTAATAAAGACTGCTGAGGGAGCAGAAAGGCTGGAGAAAGCAACGCAACTGCCAGTGTCCAAGATACGAACTCATCCCAGCGTTACCATGCAGGAGGAAGGAAGTGTGCAATAGGATTCTCTCCAACACATCAAATTCCACACCCAAATTTGCTTTTTATCTCCAAGATGGTGCTAATTGAAGAAAGTCTAGAGGTGCATGTGCTGTGATGAGCTCTCCTCCAGAAAAAAACAAACAAACAAAAAAAACCCCAGAATCTACACAGAAAATAAACAAAGAACGGAACGGTTGAGGAAATAAAGGGACAGGATTTCACAAGGAAAATTATAAAACCATAACTTAAGAAAGCGCAAAGCTGACAGTGTTCAAGCTATTGCTGTAAGAATGCCTGGGAAATCTAATGAAGACTCTTCTCTTCAGTGAAGACACATCTGGAGAAAGAGAGAAAGAAAAGGAGCAGGAATTAATGACAGTGAGGAGCAACAGGCTGGGACTGCGCAGCACAATGAAGTCTGAGTCTTACATATGTCACGCTAGACAAACAACACATGGGATCTGACTCCTCTTCCAGGATAAAATGTCTGTTAGTTTTATAGGGGCACTATGGCAACATCAAGACCAGCATATGAGACCCCAAGAAAGGAAGCTCATTCTAGAAATTAATATTTAAATAAAACGTAGGGAGTGAGCACTGTTAAGCCAAGAACTAACTTCCTGCCCTTCCCAGTACTGAAGGAAAACCTTCATTATGCTGCAGCTACTGAGACAGAGTTGAGCTGAGCCGTGTACCAGCAGGGCAGTCAGTCAGACAGGGGACATGCTACACGTGCCAGTGTCACTTTCCCCACAGTTTCATCATTTGGGGACAGTCTCCAAGCCCTCAGGTATCAACACAGCACCCAGACTTGTCACATTACGGGGCACACCGGATACTGTCAGTGAGCCAGAGTTTCAGGATATCTTCAGGAGGATAAAAATTTAGAAAGACAGGTCTTCAGCTTTTAGTTTGCTCCTTGTACCAGATCTGGAACAACCCAACAGCCAACGATCCCAGCTATTGTCAGCACCACCAAGGCCCAGTCCCGTGAGCTGGGATGGAGAAGGGAGAACTCATTTAAAAATCAAGTCTAACCTTTTTTGCTGAAGTTTGGATGCTGGGTTATTTCAAAAATGTTCTTGGGCAAAGGTGGGAGACTGCTCCCAAAACACTGAACTTTCTAAATCTACTACCCCCTTGCTCAGCTATATTTGTGCTTTGTGCTATATTTGTGCCTTGTTTCTTTATTTGAATTTAATCTCAAACTCCCTCGTGTGTTTTTATACTTTATTATGTGTCAATTTGCTAAGGAAATACCCACCCACATCTGTTACACAGACATGAGGTGTTACGCATTCCTCCACACAGCTGGAACACGCGTGTGAGCACCAGCACTTTTCGTGGTGCGCCAGTTTTCTACCAGCTGAAACATTCAGATGACAGGAGGAAAGAGT